CATCCACCTGAACAAGCAGATTGTTTACCTCGATTTAACATAATATCGAAGGACAGTACTTCCGACAATGAAACACACCCCCAGCACTGCAGTGGAGTATCAGCTTAGACCATGTGATTCCAAGTCCCAGTGCGGAGCTTGTACCCACAATCAATGTCTCAACTGCAAGAGTGTTTACCACTGTGCCAAGCTGACATTCAAACATTTCCCCCCGGAAAGCGATTCAGCAATCAGCTAAGTAAACAAAGGCGTTTGGAGTAAGGAAATTTGCCCAAGGTTTCAGCCCACCCAGGAATTGAACCCGGGTCCTCTTCGTTGCAACAAAGAAATTTATATAGCGCCTTTCGCCTCGGGAGACTGTCCCTAGGCACTGGACAGTCAAGATTTGCACCCGAGCTGGAACTGGGAGTCAGGGTGGGGGTTGGGGCGTTACTTCCATTTCATCATTGCAACAGTGAACTTGCAGCATTATCGTACTCTTTATCCATTTTCCACTTTCTGTTCCCAGAATCAGTCTTGGCTCATTTGGTAGCACTCTTGTCCCTGGTTCAGAAAGTTGTGGGTTTGAGAAAAGGCATTGGAGGAAAAGCACCAACTCAGGACCTCAGGACTGAGCTACAGGAGTTAAATAAAGGTCACCTCCTCTGGCCTGTAATCCATGGCTTCAAAAAGACACAGCATTATGTATCTCTTGGCAGTCTGAAGACCAATATTTGGACATTAAGAATTTTGGTGGCACTGGCAGATGGGAGCAGGGCAATGAGCAAAGCAGCTTACACATTGGAGGCATTTGGTTTCCTCACAGCTCTGCTGGTTGACAAAGTGCAATGGATCATGGCAATAGGCCTTTTAATAATTGTTTACAAACGCTACATAGTTGTGGAATAATATTCATGTAATGAAAAGCTTTCCACTGAGAAACTCTGTCGCAACACTACAAAACCTATAAGAAGAAGGTTGCTAAAACCGTAACATCTGTTTGAGCAGACAGCCATGAACACTTACTGAGGAATTGATTGGTTTACTCGCTGGTTATAGTGGATGTCCTATTTGTGGAGTCCTGTAGCTCAGTGGTTAGAGCACTCGCTTTGCAAGCGAGAGACCTGAGTTCAATTCCACGCAGGGCGAAACCTTGGGCAAGTTTCCTTACTCCACACAGAGCCTAATAATAATCCCTCCAAAAAACTAAAAACAATAATAAAAAAAATTGGTCATTTTCAATCTACGACTGTTTGTGGGACATTGCTGTGCGCAATTGGCTGCCGCGTTCACCCACAAATGTACAGTCAATTCACTTTACAGTATATTCTGTGAAGCGCTTTGGGATGTCCTCCCGACTTGAAAAGCGCTATATCAAATGTAAGGATTATTATTATTATTATTATGTCACTTGAGAACAGTTTCACATATGGTTATACCTCGCTGTATGTTCCACTGGATCAGCTCTCTTCAGGCAAAATGTTGCTGCACATACTCAACAGTTAAATTGGATATTTTCATTCATTGTTTGTTACTTTTCTCGCTTGTCATTCCCACCTCAGGGTTGCAAAGTTCAAGCTCGCGCTGCTGAAAGGGTGAGAATTAGAAGCGTCGAGAGTGGAAGTGTGCAGAGAATTTGCCAGTTTGTTTCTCTGAATGAGACTTCTGCTGGAGAAATAAAACTCTCCTGATATCTGTAGCTGCCTGAGGTAGACAGTACTGACAGTAGAAATGAAGGAAACACTCCCATTGGCCTATGGTTCAAAAGAATTCAGATCCTTATGTCTTGTTTAGGCTGTAGAGCTGGTTTGAGTGGAGTTGCCTGGCAGAGCTATGGGATATGGCATTAAAAGCAGGAAAATATGCAGGCTTGAAATATAGCTTTTCAGCATTACCGATCTCAGACACAGTTTGGGAGGGGGAGGAGGGAGCGGGAGACCACCAACTTACTCCAGTCATAAACGAAAAGACAGATAGGGAGTCGTCTTGGACCATCCACAACTGTCAATGCGATCAGATTGAGGGATTGCTTTTCCAGGGGTAATAATTCCTTTAAAAAATAATAAATTGGTCACTGTTTGTGGGACACTACTGCGCACAATTGGTTGCCGCATTTTGTTTACAAAATATACAGTCAATTAATTTTACAGTATATTCTGTGAAGCGCTTTGAGACGTCTCAGAGATGTGATAAGGCGCTATATCAAACCAAGGATTATTATTTTTAACCTATGTTGCAAGGGTCTCTAGTAGTGATCAGGAGCAGGAACCTTGGCAACTTTTCTCCTTACTGTCCTTGTGTGCTAAAGCAAATTTGAGGTGTTAACTCAGAACCGAGACCTCTGGTTGGGATAGTTTATTGTCGAACCCATTCAACCATTGGGGGAGATTATACAATGTGAAGCACTTAGAGATGATGACTCAAAGACACGATAAAGCACTATATCAAATGCAAGGATTATTATTTTTATTATTATAACCAGGTATAGAATTGCCAGGTCATCTACCCACTCTGTTGGCTAGGACACAGTGGAGGGGGGAGACCTGACAGGAGAGCATGTCTCAGTGGAAGCAAAGTAAGCTTGGAGTGATGGGGCTCAGCTAAGTCATATGTTTGATATTTTGATCATCCAATCTAGTGTGTTTGCATGTGTGGGAGGGAGACTGACCCCCCCACCCCCCCTTATACACCATGACTGGCAGCTCTGATTGCAGGAACCAATTCCTCTGCGATCAGGGTTGAAAAGGTAAATTTGAAGTGCAAAGAGTGGATGCATTTGGAAGCTTTGCCAACTAAGACTTGAGAAGATAGCTCCCCCGACATCTGCAACTGCCTATGGTAGAAGCAGTAGAGAAGCGGAAGAAACAAACTGCCCCCAGGAAGTTTTCTTTAAAGTGCTTTAGAGGCTCTTTGTACAAAACCACAAGTAGCTCTGAGTGTAAGTTTTGCTTATAGCTTATTGGGGATTCAAGGCAGAAGCACATTAGAGGCAAATTGAATCATCCGTGGGATATAGTCAACACAACATCTTCTTGAATAGGAAATTCCGACATAACCAAATGCCTTGCTCAGCTATTGAGGGCTGGAAATGTTTCAACAGTCTGCAGCTTCCCTAAGCATTACAAGTCTTTGGGGATCAATTGGCGTAAGGGGATACTGTTCAGTTATTGACAAAGTGTTCAGTTTGAACAATAACATTGCTGCTTGTCTTGAGTTATGGATTAGGTTGGGTTTATACTAGTTTATTCAGCACTGCCTCAGTTTGCAAGGTATTGGGACATGAGAGAACTAAATAATTGAGTAACTATGGAGGGTTGCATCTATTCAAATAATATGAATAATCAATATCGCAATGGTGTAATCACATTTCACCCTACAATGTCACGTTCCAGTGACACATGACAGTGTATTAATTTTCAAGCGAAGGATTGACCTATATCCACTGGCCATGAATTGTTTCTGGATACACAATGGGGGTTCTTATCTTAAAAGAAATATCTTGTCTGCCAGGTAGTTTGGGACATATGTGCATGCGACCGTCAGGAAGGTGGAAGGCGAACTAGATGGACCTTGGTCTTTTTGTGTCTAGCATTTCTTATGTTCTTAGATGTCCTATTTGTCATGGTTCTCAGTGAGACACTTCCTGGAAAATTAGACAACAATTAAGGAAGGTGTTGTATTTTGGTAGACTGTAGTGATCTATATACTGCTCACCCCAAGCAACTCACCATGATTTGAATCAATAATGAAGCCAAGATTTAGCCACATGTGGAGTTTATGCTATTTTAGATGACATCTTGGAATACCTTAGTGTAGTGCCAGATTCCAGCTGGGCTTCATTCTGTGAGAGCTTCTTCCCGTTATTAAAAGCAGCAAGCAAACACTGCAAGGTTTCTGTTGCGCTTTGCTTCTGTTTACTTTGATAACATAAGCTATGTTGTCCAGCCTGTGATGTAACCTGTAAGACTCTGGATTCATGCCAATGGCATTAAGCTCTCTGTGTCATAAAATTCTTAAGTTCGTGAGTGACTATCCTCCTTGGGGCGGGGGGGTAAGCAGGGTCTCCTTGGAGCTGAACTGGCTGCTATGTGACTCGCTTGGCAATGGAATGCCAGAATCGACTTCTGTGGCAGTCTTGGTAGTCCAGTTCCTGAGTCAGGGAGGTCCACAGTATTCCAAGGCAATGCTGCTGACGCACAGCCAGTCTGGTTCATCGGCAGGACTTGGAAGAGCAGACCAAAACCAAAGCCCTAATGGGTAGGAAAGTCCTAGCTAGAGAAGCAGCGGGAAAGGTTGCTAGACTGTTTTCAATGGCAAGCAGAGTGTGTTTAGCTGGTTAGACTCCAGCAGTACCCCCAACGCACTCTCTTGGGTTTTCAAGCATTGCCTTGAATTAGGTAAGCAAGGTGTGTGCCTCAGGGAGTTTCCATGTGTAGGTGGGTGCATGGTACTCTGTTTAGTTTGGATACTCTTAAGCATGGGGATGGGATTCTGCAGATCAAAAACAAAATTATGAACATCTTAAATTCAATGGCAATTTGTAGCAAAGTAAACAGAAGCAAAGCCCAATAGAAGGCATGCTGTATTCACTTATATTTTTATATATAATATATACGTTTTCTGTTTATACCTATCAATTCAACAGTAAAATGAACTCGGCAATTGTCTGATATATAATGTGCCATTTGGCCAGGGCTGCCAATTGGATAAACAGCAGGTGGCAATGCGTGCAATGAGCTATTAGAAGACAACCATTACAGTTCAGCCTGCTATTGGAGAATTCATTGTTGAGGAGAATTCATTCATTGTTTATTTCAGCGACTGTTAATGTCCTTTGTTCATAGACTTTAAAATACAGGATAAATGCATTGGCAGATTATACTTGGAGTAGATAAAAACTTTATTTATTCTGCCTGTGTCAGTTGAGGCAGCAATTCAGTGTTTGCTGTTTATACGAGCTCATGCTAATGGAGATGTTTGCTGCAGAAAGCCATTGACCCAAATTCTCTGTCCTGTTGCAGGAACGTCAGCTCGGCTGGTGAAGAGGCGCGGAGACGGATGAGAGAATGTGATGGGCTCACTGATGCGTTGCTGTATGTGATTCAGTCTGCTCTAGGGAGCAGTGAGATTGATAGCAAGGTTTGACTTTTTTAAAATTTCCTTTCCCCACCCCATGTTCCCAGATGTGCCAAATTGATAAAACTCTGGGGAGAAAAAAAACTGAAAGGAAACAGGTAAGAGGTTAACTCTTTACTGTTATTATAAAATACATAGGGTGTCTGCTTCATTTGTTTTTATAATTTTTAACAAATAATATTATACTTTTTTTGTGATTTTTCAAGTACAAAAATTGCCGACTTCCAGGGCATCAGATCACAGCAGTTGTCACTTTCTGATCACGGGGCCTCCATGGAGACCTTACACCCTAGAAATGGTCCATTTTTATCACTGAAAAAGATTTTTTTAAAAATGTTTAAATTATGGTTCATTTTCTTTTTCACCTTCTTGCACTTCGAGAAAATTGAAAGCCAAATGCTGATTTTCACCAATTAAAATTACAGACAGGCAGACCTAAAACGTAAACAACATCTTTCTCAAAACCCTTTTTGCCTTTCTGCAAATGGTTGGAAAGAAACTGCCAAACCATGGGGTACAGATTGCAGTCATTTTTAACGCATTCCCTGTAAAACACACCTTTCTATAACCCGATTCAATGCTTCTCCTTGTGCTGCCTTGTTGCTTGTGTGAACTACTAATAAGGTACAAAAGGGAACAAATGAGCATAATTAAGACTAATTTCAGAGCGCCTCCATCCTCAAGAGGAAGCGTTTGGCAAACCTTGATTTTGTTTACAAATTTGCAATGTGACAGAGTGAATCGTAGCGAAAGACAACACGTGTTCTATTGGATATCACACAGTTCTTCACACAAATCTTTCTCTGGCTCTTTCTCTTTCTCTGTTCTCCATCCCCCCCCCCCGCACACACACACACACATAAACATACACTCAAACTACAACAACATGCAGCAACTATTTAGCACTCTGCACTCCAGGTAACATCCCAGAGCGCTTGACAATGGCAGAGCACAATGCTGAGTCGGGGGGAGGGGACCAGAGGCGCAGTTGAAGAGGAAAGGCTTAGGCACTGATTTGTGCAGTTACCATGTTTTTGTAAACTTTATCAAGTCAATGGGGTGAAATTTCATAACCTGTTAGAAATCGTTAATGTGTGGGAAAAATGAAACAATTACATACGTTAATTACATATGTTTCATGACTTACATAGACTGTACAACTCCAAAACAATCCAAAACATGGCGTGTTTATAAAGAAACACAAGATCTGCTGTGAAACCAGTCTTATTTTAGGCTCATTTGTTCCCCTTTGTATTTTATAAGTTTTCCAAGCAAGCAACAAAACTGTAAGTACATATTCAAGACTGAGGTTGATAGTTTTCTAAAGGATAGAGGGATTAAGGGATGTGAGGATAGGGCGGGTAAAAAGAATTAGGTTAGAAGATCAGCCATGATCTTATTAAATGGTGGGGCAGGCTCGAGGGATCAAATGGCCTATTCCTGCTCTTATGTCCTATGGTCATACGTCCACATGAACTTCTCCTCTTCATCCTACTTCCTATTCCCTGCCTTCGCTTCTCAAATCCACCCTCTGTGTGAAAGATCTTCCTCCTAAACTCTCTTTGAAATCTGCATGTTTCTGCCCCATTGTTTTAGACTTGCTAACAAGTGGAAACAATCTATTAATAATCTTTACGATCTTAAACGGATCCATCAAGTTCCCTCTCAATCAGCTCATCTCCAGAGAACATAAGTTCTAATTTTTCTTGATAGCTATATCCACACATACCTGTCATCCCTGTCAAAAGTCCGTTCTCTCCACTGCTGCCATACCTTTGCTGTAGTATGGCAACCAGAACTGCATGTAGAATGTATGTTTTTTGGTCAGCTGGGTGTCTTACGCATGCAAAAACCCATCACCATGCTTGAGTATCCAAACCAAACTGAGAGTTCCATGTATCTAACCTACACATGGAAATTCTGGAGATTCTTAGTAGAATGGATTGCACACAAACTCCCTGGAGGGATGCATTCTGCTTACCTAATTCCAGAAAGTATTAGGCACATGTTGGCAAGAGCCAAGGCTTAGGGGTCCCAGAATATGAGTTGTGGTACTGCTGGAGTCTAACCAGCTAAAACCGTATAGCCTGCTATTGAAAACACTGTCTGACAAGCATTCCTGTTGTTTGTCCAGCTACGACCACTCTACCCACTATTGTCCGAATTTCTGAACTGTTGCCTCAGAGTCTGCGAAATGGATTCTTTACAACTGATTGACAAGCTAACTGGAGATCAGCTTAGCAACTCCCCCAGTTGTAACCAGTTAAGGATCTTAATATTCACTCAATTTGCCCCTAATAATTTCTAGGTGGTTTCAGCAGCAATGCCGCAACAGAGGATGCAAATCAAATCAGATTCTACTCCATCAAAGCTCTTGGGGGGATCCATCGGACAAGATGTTTTAATTAAGACACGTCTCAGTTTTCTGCTATCAGGAGCGGGTCATTTCAATCAGGTTTCTCATTGGACTACAGCAAGATGAGAAATCGCTTAATTTTCAAAAATATAAACAAAGCATATGTTTAATTTACACTTATATTCATGTAGGATAATGATTCAAAGTGCTTCACAAAAACAGTGTGGATCACCACACTAGGTGCAAGGAGCACATCATTCTATCCTCGCCTAGCTCCACTGGCTCCTTATCTCCGAATGAATCAACTGTAAGATCCTCCTCCTTCCCTTCAAATGTCTACAGAGATTTGCTTGTCCTGCCTCTGTGATAATAATAATCCTTAAACTATAATTGGTACAGCGTATTCCACGTCAGGAAGACAGATCAAAAAGGGATTCATAGGATTCACTTTAAAGTGTATTTGCAGCCGATTTGTGTACACAGTCCCTGTGACTCCCTTCTCCTAGCAGCTTCATCTGCTTTGCCAGCTCTGGCCTGCTATATACCCCTCTCCCGCTCTGCCCCACCATCAGCAGGTGAGCTTTCAGCCGATTTGCCCCCGCCCTCTATAACTCTCTTCCCAAATCCCCCCCACTTTCAAAAACCTCTTAAAGACCTATACCTTTACTTTGCCTTCACCCAACTCCCTCTCCCATATATCTCTCCCAGCTCATGCTTCTATTCAGTAAAGCTCTTTGAGATGTGCTCCGTATGGGAAAGCGCTCCATAAATGCAAATTGTTGTTGGTGTTTCCAGTTAATTCCTAAAGATTATTAAAAAAAACTAATACTCTAATACCCTACAGGACTCCACGATATTCATAAAGTGGCATTAGCACTGAAACACAATGAAAACAGGACTTACATCGGCCCTTTTTTGCTACTGTAATTGCGGAAATACAGGAAACACAAGTATTCTAAATATAGTAATAATAATACTTACATTTGATACAGGGCCTTTCAAGTCAGGAGGACGTTCACACGAGTATTTGATTATAAACTGAAAATTGCGATATTTCTTAACAGATTTAAATCTGTTCAGCAACAGTTATGGTTTTCGCCCCATGACCTCAATGTATGCAAGAGAACAGAAGACTCACACCGCTCTTTGATGCCTCGTCCTTTTTTAAAAGGAAAATAAATCAGCAGCGGAACTGTTGGTTCTATTGATTTTTCTTTGCTGTTAGTATCACAAATATAAAAAGGCTAATACAATTTTGAATTTGTTTGGTGCTCACACAGGTATGTCTGTGTGATTGAAAGAGCATTCTTCCTTTATCACTGTGAACCAAGACTTTCATGGAGCCTAGCCTAAGCTGCAAATTTGATCGTTGCAGAGATAGTCAGCTTCTGTTTATCCGTGTACCAAGTACAATGAGATCATATGCAAGGATTATTATTATTTTTATTATCATCATATTTTGTGATGAACACACTCTTCCTTTGTTACCCGAGGCTCAATCTGACGAGCAGCAGGAATTCAGAGTTCAGAGAGCATTTCAGTGAAAATTTGATTCTCCAATTTCTACATTTGCAGAATTGTTCTGTTTGTTTACGTTTGTGGCATGAAGGGGGTGAAGGCCCTATCATAATAATCCTTGCATTTGATATAGCGCCTTATCACGTCTTTGAATCATCTCAAAGCGCTTCACGGAATATACTGTAAAGTGAATTGACTATATTTGTGGACGAAACGCAGCAGCTAATTGTGCACAGCAGTGTCCCACAAATAGTGTGGATTGAAGTGACCAAATTATTATTATTATTATTATTTGAAGGCATTATTACTCCTAGAAAAGTGATCCTCTGAAAGGCATGTTTGATGCACTTGTCTCCCATCCAAGTTAACTCACTTAAAGAAATGCTTGAATTCTGGCTTTTCCACACACAACTATACAGAACAGCTGAACAGTTTTACGTTCATAACATGCAATACAAGATCTGCCCACATTTAATGTAAGAATATCAGAAAGGTATTGCTAAAGATTGGGCACATTCATTCTGACACAACAAAAACAACTTGCATTTATATAGCTTCCTTCACGCCAGGAGCCGTCTCAGAGCATTTAAATGTGCTGAAGGCAGGATCTGTGCTGTCTTTTGGACTGACTGAGCCTCAGTGCACAAGTTCAGGATTGAAAGTCTCAATCTGGGTATTGGGCTTGTAACACTTTAACATAAGAACATAAGAAATGCTAGATGAAAGAAGATCTAGATCCATCTAGTTCACCTTCCACCTTGATGGCGGTCACATGCACACATGCCCCAAACTACCTATATACTTTGATGTCGGCAAGATATTTCTAAGCGCTTTGACATATCTCCTGATATGAAAGGACTTCTATAAATGTAAATCATGCATACTATGTTGTAAAAAAATTTTATGCAGCGAGTTGTTAATGTCTGGAATGTACTGCCTGAAAGGGTGGTGGAAGCAGATTGAATAATAATTTTCAAACGGAAATTGGATATTTACATGAAAACAAAACATTTGCAAGAACATGGGGAAGCAGTGGGGGAGTGGGACTAGTTGGATAGCTCTTTCACAGGCACTATGGGCCGAATAGCCTCCTTCTGAGCTGAAGGATTCTATACTGTAAACAAAAACAGAAGTCACTGGGAACACTCAGCAGGTCAGGCAGCATCTATGGAGAAAGGAAAGTGAATCAACTAGTATTGGATTCTGACAATTCTGATGAAGGGTTGTGGACCCGAAACGTTGACTCACTTTCCTTTCTCCATAGATGCTGCCTGACCTGCTGAATGTTCCCAGCGACTTCTGTTTTTGTTTTCAGATTTCTAGCATCTGCAATATTTTGCATTTTGATTCTATACTATGTTGTATTTATGCAAAAGCCAATCTGATGACATATCCATTGAAAATCTCTGTTTTAAAGTTCAATGGATCTCTCCGTGTTGCTGTTTGATAATATCATTGTCATTCGTTTTCGATATCTAAGCAAATATGCTAACATATTTATATATGGATTTATTCATTGTTGCTCTTTTTTATATATTACTGTAGCATATGAAAGGGGGGAAAGACAGGAACTGAGTGCTGTGAGTGTGGCATTCCTATGATCACTCACTGGCCCAAATGTCGAAAAATCACCAGCAGCTGATTCATTCTTGTGAAGCAAAACTGAGTGTTGCTACCGTCTGGTACCAAACTACAAAACTGAAAAATAGGACAAAGGCCAATATAGCTGGTTATTCCTCAGTAAAGGAGGAACTTTAATTAACTCTGAGTCAAACCCGATGTTAGTGATTTAAACAAAGGGGAATAATTTAAAGGATGTCCAGAGCAGAGAATGAACAGTACAGAGAGAGTTCTGAGAGCATGATTTTAATGCTAGTTGACAGGGTATATCACGATGGCAGAGGAGATCGAGCACAGAAGACACAGCAGTTGTGCTCACATCTGGCATTTTACTTACAGACAATTTCTCGACTGAGAAAAGGTCCAAGAAGTCTGACGGAAGGTTGAAAATCAAAACAGACTTTACCAGCGTTCAGGATCACAGTGAATTGTTTGACAGTGAATTGGATTGTGAATTGTGCAATTTCAGGTGCAGAACAGAAGTCACTTTCTGTTTGGGAGCTTCAGACCTCATAAGCTGATGTTTGGGATAGAGTTTGTGCTCTTTGAGATGAGGGAATTCAGACGCAGAGAATGGAGATTCTTTCTAATCCCGAGTACAGCATCAAACATTCGTCAGGATAGATAGAATGTGTCAAGTACTGAAGAATGATCACCGTACTATGTCCCAGTAATCAGGCTTGACCCTAAACCAAAGAGCAGTTCCTACTTCCTCACTGTGAACGTTTCCATTTCCCACATCAGCCTTGCCTCTCTGAGTGAGATTGACATTTTGCTGCCCGTTTACACTGAGTTTAGGCCTGTTTTGTCATGCCTTGGTGCCCTCATTAGGAACAAATGCGAGACTTCCCACACTGATATAACATGGACTATTTATAGCAGCGCAGAGACTTCCATTCTGTCAGTCTAGATAAGATTCAAACTCAGAGGTAAAGACACTGCTCATCTCAGTGCACCTCATCCCCAATCTATAGCTCAGAACTCGCATTTGTAACATTGCAGTACCATTGCAACTAATCCACTGTAGTTAGAATGATATGGCACGGAAATAGGCCGTTCGGCCCAACTAGTTCGTGCCAATGTTTACACTGCGCACAAACTCCTGAATCCCTCTCGCGTACCATGGCAGGAGAGTATTTATTGTACCTCTCGGTAATTTCCCCCTTTTTTTCGAGAGCGTCTAAGGCTTTTATGGCTGACTTGAATGTCCATTCAATCCAGTATCTGATCTGACAATACCTACTTGAAGTGCCATGACCAGCTTCTTTGCATCACATGTTGTGTTTTTCATCCCAATGTTTCAGGTTTAACCTTCGATACCATTTAATCTTTTGTAAGCTTCAAGGTGGAAAATCCTTCTTGCCAGCTTAAACACGTGTGACTATCACTCTTCTCTGTACCCTCTCCAATGCTTATGTATGCTTTTTGTGGGGCAGTGACGAGAATTGATCATGAGTCTGGTCTAACTAGTACTTTCTCCAGCATTACTCTACATAATCTTCAGTCTTTGCCCACAAAATACCCAGTCACTCATATGAAGTGTTTTGCTACATCCTCCCAAAGTGAAAGGCACAATATCAAATATTATTATTACTAATACCAATAATCCATACATTTAAGCCTTTCATTCCTTTATGTTACACTACTTTCAATTACTTCAGGCATTCCAGATAATGAACCACAAAGATCCCTGCCGAAACCGAACTCAAAAAGTTCCAATTCAATTTGAAATGAATGTTATGAAAAGATCTTGACGGTTAATGTCATAGTAAAAATGCTACATCAAAATAACTCACAACTCAGACCAGTTGTTACACTTGTTTTGTATTGTATTTGCATTCCATGCTGAGCTGTGTTATCCACCAGGAGTGTTTGGAACTTGCTATCCACCTAGTGAGGGTGGAAACCCACGCCTCTCCAATTTCAAATGACCAACTCGTGACTGTCCTCCTTGAGGGGGATGTAAACAGAGTCTCCTTGGAGCTGAGCTGGCTCCAAGGTGACGTGGGGTGTGTCACTCCGGGCAGAGAGTACGCATTCCATTCCAGACTCTGGGAGATTCCCATGTGTAAGTGGCATACATACGTGGAATTCTCAGTTTGGTTTGGATATTCTTAAGCATGGTGATGGATTTCCACATGTGTCAGACACCCGGCTGAGCAAAAAATATTGGATTATGTTGCGGGTTGGGAAAGGGGAGGGGATTTGGATTCCAGCCGATTGAAATTATCAAACCATTTTTGAACAAAACTACAAAGCCAAAACCAATTAATTTTACCTCTTCCCCCTCTACAGACGATTGAAAATTGTGTCTGCATTTTGAGAAACCTCTCCTACCGTCTGGCAGCAGAAACGGCTCAGGGACAGCAGATGGGGACGGATGAGTTTGACGGATTGCTGTGTGAAGGCACCGGCAAGGACGCCGAGAGCTCAGGGTGTTGGGGCAAGAAGAAGAAGAAGAAGAAATGCCAAGACCAGGTGAGGCCGGCAATTCATTTCTGTAGCTCCTCCAGTGAGTGTGGCCAAGGCTCTCAGGAACACTGTCAGACTGATACCGTACAGCGTCCCAGAAATGAACTGTTGCTTTTTCATGAGGATGCTCTCAGTCACCTTGGGTCTAATTTAAGTTACGCAGCAACTGTCACATAGGAGGAACATAATACTTCAGCGATTACAGGTGATGGAAAGGTGATGCATTTTGTTCCACTAATGAGCCAACATTGCTTCCAGCAGCTCCAGGGTGGTTTTGAAGTGTATTCAGGGTGATCCAACCAGGAGCTGCCTGGTAAAATGGTTTACTAATGAGCAATGTGATGCCTAACAGTGGGTAAGAACCTCCACCCCTCAGGCCTGGCTAAATGGTTCTCATTATCTCAATATCATATTGTTGGGATTATGTGATAATGAAGAGTAGCAGGAGCTAAATAAACAGCTGCATCTTCTCCCCTCTCTGCGGTCACCCACACCTTCTGTCAGTCACTTCAACCAATTAAAAAGCTAGAACAAACTAAAGCTTGCAATGCCAGTTTCACTGATGCAGCATGACACGTAGGGGGAGGAGACCTTTCAAAGACCCCAGTTTGAAGCATTGTTATTTCTTGCTGGGTACAGCATGCAAGACAGGTGTTCAATAACCTGAAACAACATGTAGCTCGTAGGTGTATTTTAGGAAAAAGTAATAAATACAAATTTGAGGCAAAGATGCTGACTTTAGCTTGCCCTGCATTTTGTATCTATAATGTCCAAACGATTGACAGAGATTTGCTTCAGTGAGACATTGTGTGCAAATTGGCTGTCGCATTCACCTACAAATGCACTTACATTACAAGAATGCGACAGCCATTTGCACACAACATGGTCCCACTAACAGCCATGAAGTGAAGGATCAATTTTTCCATAGGATTGTTGGCCAGTACACCTGGAGAAGAACTAGCTTTTCTTTTTAACTTGTGTCACAGGATCTTCAACATTTACCATCTTCTGAATCATCTTTTGATCAAAAATATTTTTTTAACACTTCTACAAAAAATGGAACGATGAGAGGTGCCAGGGCTAATGATCATTCTTTGGAAGTGGTTGATACGAGTACTGAAGATCTTTGTTTATATCTGTGAAAAGAAATACCATATGGGGCACTGCCACCATGGAACTGTAACTTGGGGGAATCACTGCTGAGCAGAGCACTAACCAGCCAAAACAAAACAGGCAAGGGGAAACAGCAGCCATGATTCCACCTTGAAAACCAGTTGTAGCATAAACAGGCACAAAGTTAATCTAGTGTCTACGTTGAAGCTAAATGAGGTGTTAAAACCTGATAACAGCTTGAGGTCTCTTGCAACCGGCTGTAGAATGAGCAGGACAGACGAAGTGCAAGAGGTGTGGTGTCACATCCCAAGGCAGATCTCATGGTCAATGAAGGGACAAGACTAATTCTCAGAGGGGGAAATTGTCAGGGTTAATAATATGGGTGGAAATCTGTGACAGGAAAAGTAGCAAAGTACTAATGGAAACTGCTGCAGACCTCTTGAACAAAGTGATCAAATTGACATATAACAGTTTGAGCACATTAAAGGGGATTCTGAGAAAGAGAAAGTAGGAATGGTCAGTGACAGAATTGCATAATTAAAGAGGATAGAAAAGGGGTCACACCTAAGAGGCGACGGCAACTCATGGAGCTTGACTTGACATGTTAGATTCCGCATCAGGGAGCTAAGGCAGAGGCCACAGCATATCTGACACCGAGCAATAAATATGGGAAGTTACTCAATTTGAAAACTGAGGCACACTGGTTAGTTGTCATTCAAATTGAATGTTGACGTCCAGATAACTGCAAGCCATTATGAACAGGCCAACATCAAGAAGAGTAAATGTTGCTGTTGTGAAGGGAAACCTGAAGGGGAATCACTGGGGAGATATGTTTGACAAGAGGAAATAATTACTTTTTTCAGGCATGCAGTGCAAGAGGCAAAAAACTTTAAGGGACCAAAAAGAAAAGCAGTAATAGATTACAGTGTCCTCGGGATTACAGTGTCCTAGGGAAATGTCATTATGTTGGCATGCTAAAGGCAGACAAAGTATTAAAGAACAACTGTGACCCTCTCAAGGGTGGGAGGGGAGCTGAGGGAGGGGAAAGCAGCTGCATGGCTAAACCTTTTAAGTAAATTCTCATCAGCATTCGCAACAGAAGAGTGTTGCTAAAGCCTGTGAACAAGTTGTCAGAGAATACTTCTGAGAACATAATAAAAAAACGAGAATCGTGAAAGGACTTGTAATCAAGACATTAGAGTAATTGAAGGGCAGCAAGGCATCCGAACCAGATGGAAAACATCCAAGATGACTGAATGAAATGAAGGGTCACCGAGCCTGTTCTAGCTCACATTGGAGCTGTTTTAACCTTTGCTGTGCTGTGCACTGCTGATCTTAACAGTGGGGTTACCACCACTGAGAAACACCAGGAGGTAGCATTTCTCGATTTGAAGAATGGCTTCATTTTATCATCGATGATACCAGTTTTTCATAAGTGTATTGCTAGGCAGGTGGTGGAATCCAGGATTTAGAGGAAAAAGTTATTTAAAAACTAAACGAATAGGCCTAAATTAGGATATATTCAATGGATATGAAGGAAAATTTCAGATTTAAAATTAACACAAAGCAAATCTGGTTTGTGACTATCAAAGTAGATCTACTTTGTCCTGTGAATTTAAAACAATAATAATAATTCTTACATTTCAGAGGATGACTGAAAGTGCCTCACAGGATTCACTGAAAAATACACTAGAATACATTAGAATATACAGCACAGAAACAGGCCATTCGGCCCAACTGGTCTATGCCGGTATGTGTAGTGACTGTGTATTAGGTAGCAGAACTCAGCAGCCATTGTGTATGCAGCAATATCACACAAACAGCCATGGAGTGAATGATCAATTTTATCTTGACCAGGAAAGTGGGAGAAATTCCCTTTTTGAATATTGCCATTGGGTAATGGGGTCTGTACACCTAAACAGACAGATGTTTATTGGCAGACTTAACATTATTTTTTCACTCATGGAATAAAGAATATCTTAGCATGAGTGAGCAGTCTATGTTGGACCTGAAAATTCAGCTGGTGTTAATTTTGAGACAATTGTCTTACAACTGAACATTGTGCAGAATTTTGACAACCCTGTTTGAGTGATAGTTTTCTGCAAGTCTTTTTAAGAACTGTGAAAAACTATTTTCCAAAATAGGATTAATTTAAGAATTTTTCCAAAATGTTGGTCTTAGTTTTTTAAGAGCATAATCATAAGGCTAAGACCAGGTGAAATTTTAAACTTCTGAGCTGTCTGCTTTAATTGTCCCCTTTGAATGCATCATCTATGTATGCAAGTTCATGAATTTTAGTTGACATTTCTAACTGCAATATCATCATGGACACAGTGATAGACATCTCACACATCAGTAATAAATAACTCTGAGCTGCATTGAACTAGTGAATGAGTCTTGTGATGAGAAGGTGTAGAGGTTTGCCCTGGTACAGGCTGTGAGCCTGACACCAGAATCAGGGTCACTATTTCCTGACTGCTAGGTTGATAAATAGCCAGACGACCAGAACCTCAGCGTCCAACACAATGAAAAGATTTTCCAGATATAAAAGAAAGTAAGCTTGAAATTGTTCCTGGTACAAGCTCACAGTAAACCTTTGTTGATACTTTAACATTTTAAGCAGATTGGAACGGCCGCCCTCAGCCAGCACAGCCCCGACAGGAAATTTAATTTCATGGCCCGTGGAGATGCATTTTTTTTTCAGGTGGCTGAATTATGTTTTTATTGAAATTTCAGAAGGCTGCTTGAATTTCTAGCTAAAGGTCAGGTGGATTTACTACCTTTGAAAAGTCTAGCATTTCTTGGCTTCTGATAAATGCCAATAGTGGCCATAGTTGCATTTGAATCCTTGGATTTCAACTCAAGAGGCTCTGAAATGTGAACGTTACTCACACAGACTTGTGTTTCTACTCGTTGCCCTCCTTTTCTCGGGCAATATTTGGCTGAATGTAATAACAGACATTTTAAACTTACATGGATCAATTCACAAGAGGAGGCCAGGAGATTTGCTTTGCTTTTTTTGCTTTAATCATTTGTAACTCTTGGCAATAAAGTACAGAGGAGAATGACAACTGTAAAGAGAGAAAAAAAGTAACAGGCCAAGAAAAAAGTCACAGCCAATCACCTTGGAAGCAATCACCTTCAGTTTTCTTTGTGATTTATAATAATAATCTTGCGTTTGATATCACATTGTCAAAATGTCTCAAAGCGTTCACAGGATATACTGTAAAATGATTGACTGTTTTTGTGGGCGAAACTTGGCAGCCAATTTGCACAGAACAATGTCCCACAAACAGTCATGGAGTGAGTGACCAATTTGCTTTGAGGGACTTGTTGGCCAAAACACCAGGAGGAACTCCCTTCTCTTATTAAATAATGCCATGGGATTATAAATCTAATGCCATGGGATTATAAATTATAAAACTCTTATTAAATAATGCCATCCACCTGAACAGGCGGACAGATGACCTCAGTTTAATGTTTTTCCGGCCAAAGTAGGCAGGGATAACATAACAAACATCCACCAAACCCAAACCAATCAGTCAAAACCAAAAAGTATCAGACATATCTAAATAGGTCTTTGGGAAGTATTTAAGAAATTATACAACCTTGTAATACTGTGCCCCTCTACTCTCAGATTTCCAGTAGCTTTTTCTCTTCATCTCTTCAAATTTTTGTAGGTGTGTCAGCCTGGCCCAGATTGTAGGGCTCTTGCCCATGAGTCAGAAGGTTGTGGTTTCAATTCTCACATCAGAACTTCAGACTCATACAGTCTCAGCTGACACTCCAAAGCAATGCTGGGGAACGTGCTGCATTGTTGGAGGTGCCATCCTTCAGTTGAGACGTCAAACCATCTTCTGTTTAGGTGGTTAAAGATCCCGTGGCATTATTCG